CAGGCCCCATGACCGGACCAAAAAAAAAAAAAAAAAAGAACTCTACTGAAAAGCATCAACAGATTGTCTGATTTTATGTACCAGACAAAATGAATGGAATCCCACAGTGAAGTTAGGGAATTACATACCATTTCTCAGCAGAAGCTATAGTCAAACTGTTCTGCTCTATATTTCTATTTGGAAGTCTTGTGGGTTCTTAGTAAACCCAACCCTGGTTTATAAACTGGAGAAAACATCTCCGTCTCTTGTGGACACATTTAAAAAACATCAGGAGGAGGGGCTGGGATGTCACTGGAAGGAGCTGGCACAGGAAAGGGGTTATATTGTAGGCTGACAGCTGGCAGCAGCCACAAGAGATTATTTGAAACAGAACATATCACCCTTTGGGAGAGCACTGCAATATTCCCACGTGCTCAGATTGAAGAGTGAGCCAACAAACTATTACTTCCTTGTCTGGATTCCTACCATAGTCAGCTTAAAAGAACTGAAGTGAAAGACCTTGGCAAGTTGTATTTTTACTCCACTTTACTAAACAGGAGTTTAAAAGAACTCACTAAGCTGCTGACATGTCAGTTCAGCTGGGCACACTGGGCCTCCCATTCAGTTGAATGAATGGGTCACTAAGACAGAACACCACCCCTCAGCTTTCTGTTGGAGAATAAAAAGAGAAATTTCTTACCCATCACCATCCAAGTGAATTAGGGTGTCACTCCAAAGGGGCAGGACTAAGCCCATGGTACAAGTGCTACTGCAAGACAAGAAATAGTCTATAAGTTAGTTACTTCCTGTTGTTCTGGGAAGCAATCTTTTATTAACAATTTCAACACAAAGGATAAATGCCTGAGCTAGAAAGTATGGCACAAATACTAGAGTGGGTAAACTTCCATCATATCATTCTTAGTTCATGTAAGTCCTCAACAACTGTTTAATAGATTATTTAGGAAGTTCCTTGTATGTTTAGCAAAGAAACATAATGATTGTGCTTTCTATATCCTGTCTAAAAAATACTCCAGGTGGGGCTGGGAAGGTGGCTCAGTGGTAGAGCGCTTGCCTTGCATGCCTGAGGCCCTGGGTTCAATTCCTCAGCACCACATAAGCAAAAAGAAAAA